TGTTGCCCTGGGTGGAGTGCCATAGTGTCGTAACTCACCATATCCTTAAACTCTTGGGCTCAAATGATCCTCTTGCCTCAGCCTTCTAAGTAGTTGGGATTACCTGCACCTGCCACAAAGCCTGGCTAATTTTTCTGTTTTAGTAGAGATGGGGTCTTGCTTTTGCTCAGACTGATCTCCAACTCCTGAGCTCAAGTGATCTACCTGCCTCAGCTTCCTAGAGTACTGGGATTATAGGTGTGAGCCACCATACCTGGCCTTAGTGTTATGTTTCTAACAGTCATTCTTAGGGACACCTCATGAATTGTGTTAAGAGTTCTAGAATGGCTCACGCCCATAGCTTAGTAGTTAGGGCACTGGCCACATGCACTGAGGCTGGTGGGTTCGAACCCAGCCTGTGCCTACTAAAACAAAAAGTAGCTGGTTGTTGTGGTAGATGACTGTAGTCCCAGCTACTTGGGAGGCTGAGACAAGAGAATAGCTTGAGCCCAAGAGTTTGAGGTTGCTGTGAGCTTTGATGCTAGGGCACTCTACTGAGGGCAACATAGTAAGACTCCGTCTCAAAAAAAAAAAAAGTTCTAGAACTAGTAGATTGGGGTCCTTCATGGATCTCAAAACTCTAATGCTAGATTTCTGAACCACCCGTTGCTGCTGGCATAACACTTCACTATATTTATCAGACCTATATGGTGGAAGTGGCACAGCCATCACTGAGAGATGTCCATGCCAACCCCACCCATCCATGCTTCCTTGTCACACCTCTTGCTAGCTAGTCCACTGAATCCAGGTTCATCAGTGTCACCCTCATCTCACTCTAGCTACTTGCCTGGCTCTTGCCCATTGCCCTGAGATACTTCACTTCATAGGCAGTTTATTTATTTATTTATTTATTTATTTATTGAAGAGACAGTCTCACTTTTTTGCCCTTGGTAGAGTGCCATGGCATCACACAGCTCACAGCAACCTTCATCTCCTCGGCTTAAGCGATTCTCTTGCCTCAGCCTCCCAAGTAGCTGGGACTACAGGTGCCTGCCACAACGTGTGGGTATTTTTGGGTTGCAGTTTGGCTGGGGCCGGGTTTGAACCTGCCACCCTCGGTATATGGGGCCGGCACCCTACTCACTGAGCCACAGGCACCACCTGAGCAGTTTATATTGTTTTAACATAGACCTGCAGCATAATCTGAAATTCTCTATCTATTTCTATCTGATCTTTGCTATTAAAATGTAACTCGGCTCGGTGCCTGTGGCTCAAGTGGCTAAGGTGCCAGCCACATACACCTAAGGTGGTGGGTTCAAATCCAGCCCGGGCCTGCCAAACAATAATCATGGCTGCAACCAAAAAATAGCCAGGCATTGTGGCAGGCACCTGTGGTCCCAGCTACTTGGGAGGCTGAGGCAGGAAACTCAGGAATTGGAGGTTGCTATGAGCTGAGATGACACAGCACTCTACCCAGGGGGACAGCTTGGGGCGTCTCAAAAAAAAAAAAAAAAAATGTAACTCAAGATTCCACTATGAGAAGGCAGTAAGTTTATATTGAGAAGCTAACAAGAATAATGATTCCTGGGTGGTGCCTATGGCTCAGTGAGTAGGGTTCCAGCCCCATATACCGGAGGTAGCAGGTTCAAACCCAGCCCCAGCCAAAAAAAAAAAAAAAAAAAGAATAATGATTCCTCATTTATGGAACTCTGTTGTTAATACTTTAATATCTTTTATGTGCTCTAATCTTCTCAACAATCCTATTCATTCATTCAACAAATATTTACTGAGTGCCCACTCGGTGCCAAACAGTGTGCTAGGAACTATAGATGTAATGGAAAGTAAGAAGAGATGTGGTGTCTACCTTCATTATTATTATTTCATTTATTCATTCATTCTAGCAACAAGTATCTGTTGCTTACTACTGTGTATAAGATACTGTTCTAGGCACCAGAATAAAACAGGCGAAAATCTCTGCCTCTTTAGAATATTATGTTCTAGATGGGAGAGATAGAATATCAACAAGGTAAGAAAAGGTCTAAGGAGAGACAGAACATTTCTGGAGGTGAGGGTGGGGATTTCAATCTTAGGGTGGCTGGGGTGGTCCTTCCCCAGAAGATTATATTCAAAGAAATGCTTGAAGCAAGCTGTTTAGATAACTGGGAGTAGCATGATCAGGCATGAGGGAATGGCAAGGATATCAGTGTGGCACAGCAGAGTAAACAGAAAAGGGGTGAGTCCTAGGAAAGGAGATCAGAGAGGTGAGGAGGGAGCAGATACTTAGGGCCTTGGGGACCATTGAAAGACTTTGGTTTTTACTCTACATGAGCTTGCAATCCAAGGAGTAGGGAAGGAACATGATTTGCCTTATCATTCGCAGGGTCTTTCTGGCTACTATATTGAGAATAGACTGGTGGGAGCAAGGACGGAAGCAGGTCCCTTAGGAAGTCATTGCTACAGTTCAGATGAGAGGTGATTATTGGGTTAGAAGGATTTCAGGGGAGGAGGTGAAAAGTGACTGGGATTTGGGCATATTTTGAAGACACAGTTGCCAGGATTTGCCTGCTGGATCAGATATCAAATGTGCAGGAAAGACCTATCAAGGAGGACTCCAATTTTTTTTGCCTGAGCAGCTAGAAGAATAAATATGCCATTGACTCACGTGGAAAGGATGAGAAAGGAGTAGGTTTGGGCAGGGGATGAATATCAGAATTTGGTCTGAGATGTCTGTTAAACATCCAAGTGGAAATGTCAAGTGGGCAGTTTATGGTAGAGATTGGACTTTAGGAGAAAGGCCTGACCTGGAGATCTCAAAGTAGGAGCATTCAATACACCTATCAAGGGAGTGACTATAAATAGAAAAGAGTCCAGGGAGTGTTCTCTGAGGGCCCCCAGTACTCAGTGGTCAGGGAGAGGAGGAGGATTAAGCACACAATCAGAATGAAAGAACTGAAGAAGTCCAGGAGAGAGTGGTATCCTGGCAGCCAAGTGAAGAAAATAGTTGAGGAAGGAGGATGTGATCAGACCATGTCAAATGTTGCTGGTAGAACAAGTAAGATGAGCAATGAGAATTGATTTAGCAGTGTGGATTTAGTGTTAGCAGCCCTAGTAAGAGTGGTTTCAGTGAAGTGAGGGAACACAGTAAGTATCAGGAGTTTTGTTATAAAGGGAAGTGGAAAATAGGATGACACGTCAAAAGGGAGATGGAGTTGAAAGGCTTTCCTTAAGGAAGAAATAATGGCATCCAATACTGGTGTGAATGATCCAGTGGAGAGGGAGAGGCAAATGGCAGGAACAGTGGATGGCTTTATGTGGATGAGAGTGGTTAGTCTAAGCTGGGAACATGAACAGTTCGGCTATTTTAAGAATAGACAAGGTATAACTTAAATGTTACAGGTGCAGGGAGGTGAGTAGATGGGATAGTAGGCATTTACAGAGAAGTTCTTTTTTGATTATTTTAATTTCTTGCATTGACATAGGGTGAGAATGAGAAGATGGGAGGAAGCAGTGAAGCTTTGAGATAAGAAGAGAAAATGTGGGCTCGGCGCCTGTGGCTCAAGCGGCTAAGGCACCAGCCACATACACCTAGGGTGGCAGGTTCGAATCCCCAGCCCGGGCCCGCCAAACAACAATGATGGCTGCAACCAAAAAGTGGCCAGGCGTTGTGGCGGGCGCCTGTAGTCCCAGCTACTTGGGAGGCTGAGGCAGGAGACTCGCTTGAGCCCAGGAGTTGGAGGTTGCTGTGAGCGTGATGCCATGGCACTCTACCCAGGGGGATAGCTTGAGGCTCTGTCTCAAAAAATAAATAAAATAAAAAAGAAGAGAAAATGTGAAATAGGGTTGAGTGAATGGACTCGGGAAATAGAATGATCACTGGGCGGCATTAAGGGTGCCCTTGAGAGAAGTCAGCAGGTTTGTGTACTTCTCTCCAACTATGTTCTGTTGTAAAGGAGGGAATATGAAGCAGACTGAGTTGGA